CCATTCATCCCTGCATTTTAGCATGGTTATGGTATTCTGCCTTTCCACAATATGTGCCCCAGCTCACTCCTCGGACCCACCACCACCTTCTGAATTATTCAGGAGCTTTGATACCAAGGGTAGGATTCACAGATGTATTTAGGCACCTAACTCCCATTAAAATCATCTGGAAATCAATGGGTGTAAGGTGCCTAAATACGTTTGTGAATCCCACCCCAGGTTACCTAGAGGGGCACCGCAGAGGCACTTATAGTTCTGGCAGCTTTTCTACAATCTTACTATAAATTCAGAGAGAGTCATATAATTGAAGTGTGGGGGAAGGTCAAGCTGAACAAACTTGTGAACTTGACTATTCAACTGTTGAACTCTGAGGGTGGCTTCTTAAAATAATTTGTCCTATACAGTTGCTTTCCAGTTGGGAAAGAAGAGACTTCGCTGAGAGAATAATTTTCATTCATTTACTTTGTTTCTAGAAGTTGCTATACTTCTGTCATGCAACTAGTCAGGCCCATCAACTTTAATCATGTCAGTTGAAAGATGGTGACTTTTTCCATAATTTTCTCATCCTTGCACATAATGGACAGACATCTTCAAGATGTGTAGATATGTAAGGAACTGACCAGGCAATCATCCAGGAGAGACATTTAAAGGAACAGCAGTTTTTAAACATTATTTTAAAGGAAATATATGTAGGACTTTAAGCTTAAAACAACCACAGGTTTTTATGGTTTTCTTCGTTGCTTTTTATTTGGGCATGTGGAAGATGGCCTGCCAAACTGGGTCCCTGCCTGTGGCAACATAAAGCATGTATTCTAGAGCTGGAATTAATGGCATGGAAGATAGAGTTGTAACAGCAAATGGAGAAATGAAGATAACTCAGCAAAATTGTGTCTTGAATATAATGGTAGTTAGAGGCATTGGGCCCTGATCCTACAATGAGATGCTTCTAAGTGGACCCCTGTGTATCATGGATTCCCACTGAAGTCAGTGAGACTCTGCATGGGTTCAGTGGTCTGCCTGTGCACCTCTTATTGCAGGATTGAAACCATCAATTGTAAGGTCTTCAAGGCAAGGACCATAGTTGCCTCTATGGTTCCTTGCACCCACGTAGAGCCCCATTCAGCTTCTGGGGTCAGCATACATGGTGTTCATTACAGGATTGGGACTTGTATTTGTATAGGGCTTTGTACAATATAGTTCTGATCCTCTCTGTGGTCAATGGGTCCTAACAAGTTGTAAATAAAAATAGTATTTCTAGGCTATTCTTCATTGACATTAGGAATGGACCTGCTGGTCAAAGCATCAAACAAGCTGTTAAGACCAGAGGATGATAGGCTCACTCTATAAATAAGAAAGCTGAGCATATAATTCAAAGTTTAGAATTTGCTCAAAGCTGAGCAATTCAGTCCAAATTTTGCAAACATGTACATACAAGTAATTTTATTGAGTATAAATTGATAGAACTATTTATGTGGGTAAAATTACTGACACGTTGCAAGAGTCTGCAGAAGTTAGAGAGTAGGATGTGAACTCAGGATATGGTACTGACTACAGTCAAAAAGTTTATGATGATGGGGACGCTTCAGAAGACAAACACATGAGAGGATGCCAAAGAAAATAATGCAAATACAACCAAAGTCAGTCTGATCCTGAGCTGACCACCAACTAGACCAGGAGTGGCCAGCCTGAGCCTTGAAGGAGCCAGAATTTACCAATGTATATTGCCAAAGAGCCACAGTAATTTGTAATGATTATATACGTGTGTGTGTGTGTGTGTGTATATGCACACACATAATCATTATATATGTTGATAATATATATTTATTATACATTTATAATATATAGTTAACGATAATAACTTAATCTTTTACATAGTGGGACTTCTGGCAATCTTTGCTTTCAAGAAAACAACAACAACAACAACAACAACAACAAAACAAGTTTGGTTTGTGTTCAGTTGTGCTCACACGCAGCAGTTCTCTTAAGTGGCTGTCTGTCAAAACGGATCGGTGCTTGGATTTCACATGTTTGAGTGTTGAGAAAACAGACTCACAAAGATAGGTCGAGGCAAGCATCAAGATTAATTTTAGGGCTGCACCTCTGATGTTAGGGTATTTATCCTTTGGTACAGATTTCCAGAAAGTAAGGGTCCCCTCTGTCTTCTGAACAGATTTCAATCTGTCATCTTCCAAAAGTTCTATTATTTCCATCTGGGATGTTGCTTCATCAGTGACTAAAGGGGACTTCAGGCAATCGGCTTCAGCACTAAATAAATAAATCATAAATCTGATTTAAGGCCTTTTCTGCTGCAAATCTTGGAATCTTTCCTCAAAACTTTCCTTAAGGTCTTTAATCACACTCATATCTAGTTGTGCTCTGTTTTAGGCGTTCTGCTGCATTCTCTTTTGATCTGGCTTGAAGTTGAGGGAGAACTGACACTTTCCCTCAAGCATTTGTCTGTGAAACAACTGAAGTTCGTTCATGAACGCAAATACGCCTTGCACTAGATCAGACAGCAACTGGAATTTTCCTTGTAAGTCCACATTTAGTTTATCCAAATGCAGCAGCATGTCTGCAAGAAATGCCAAATCTAGAACTCACCCAGGATTTGTAAGCTCAGGTTGTATTCTGTGCTTCTCCACCATAAAAAATTGTACTGGTTCCAGGAGCTCGAAAAAATGGGAAATAACTACCTTTCGAAAGCCATCCAACTGTGCAGTGAAATGGCAAATCGGCAGGGGAGTCGTCTTCATCCAGTTCTTCAATTAGATTTTGAAATTGTCTGTGATTTGAGTGCATTTGAGAGAAAGAAATTCACAATGTGCAAGACAGGTTTCATGACATGATTAAATTTGAGATTTTTAGATACCAGTTGTTCCTGATGAATAATACAGTGAGGTGTCCAAAATTCGGAAAAGCTCGTCAGACTTAAAGCCCTACTAATCCATTCGCAGATCCCCACAGGTACGGAGCCCCGTCCATTGCAATGGCAGTGATTTTCTGTAAAGGCAAGTGGCTTTTCACAACTACCAAAATCAGCCACCTCCTTTAGATCTTGTCCACGAGTTCTGTCCTTTAGTGACACGATATTGAGGAGTTCTTCCCTTCATCAGACACAGTGCAGACACATACCAATAATTGAGGTTTATCCTGAGCTTGGCATGACTCATCCAAAGTGATGCTCAAATACTCACACTGCTGAAGTTGCAAGTGCAGTTGTGATTTCATGTCACTGTTCAGGTCGGAGATTCTGCATTCTGTTGTGTGGCGTGAAAGCTGCAGGCCAGAAATTTTCTACTGTAGAGTCTCGTTCTCTGGTGACAGGATTGAAATCACATCAGTGATGCACATTTTTATAACCTTGCCTTCAGAGTAGGGTTTTTTTGCATGGGCTATGTGCCAGGCCACATAATAGGAGGCTAACGTTACAGTCTGCGATTGGTTGGCAAATCTGGTGAAGAACTGGGCTTTTACATCTGTTTTTTCAACGTTTTCAGTTTTAAAGTGTGGAGTTGAGAACCTTGTGGGAATTCTTTATCCATATGTGCATGGCTCAAAGTGAAATGATGCTGCACGTTGAAGATTTGAACTAAGAGATACACGTCTAGCAAAGAAGACACATGGCCTTACCATTACATTCAACGAAAAAGTACTTATTCTCCCACTCCTGTTAGAAGCATAGATTTTCATCTGTGTATTTTCTTTTCTGTTTGCACTTGCCTTCCATTGTTAGATGGTGTAAGAAAAAATTTGATTAAAAATTTCTACACCAGCTAGTCACTATGTGCTTTATTCAAGGAGAAACTGGTGCCGGCCAGGGGGTGCTGAACCCCTGGCTCTGTCCCAGGCCCTGTCCCCCCCACTCCACCCCATCCCCAAGTCCCCACCTCTGCCCCGCCTCTTCCCTCCCCCAAGTGAGCCGTGTCCTCGCTCCCCCCAGCCTCTTGCAAGTCACAAAACAGCTGATTGCGGCGGGCAGGAGGCATAGGGAGGGAGGAGGTGGCGCTGGGGGAGGAGGGGGGAGGCTGCATACCACATCCTCTTCTTCCCCCCTCCTCCCCCCCAGAGCCTCCTCAATGCCGTGAAACAGCTGATCGCGGTGGGCGGGAGGCATGGGGGAGAGAAGAGGAGGTGCTGATTGGGGGCGCCTCTGGCGGGCAGGAGGCACTGAGGGAGGGCTGATAGGGCTGCCAATGCTGAGCACCCACCATTTTCCCCCAGAGTTGGCTTCTAGCAGGAGCCGCATATTATCTTCTGAAGAGCCGCATGCAGCTCCGGAGTCACAGGTTGCCCAACCCTGAACTAGACTGTGGGACTTCATATGCAGGGACACGACCAGGCTGGTTTTAATGAAGGAACAAGCCATGGACAAGAATGAATGGTGACACTGTACTGCTCCCCCTGTCTGCAAAGATGCTCTGGGATGAGAAAGGGGGGGGGGGGGGGGAAGAAGCAAGTGTTTGCAGAATCTGGTCCTTAAACAAAAAAAATTGATTTATTTCAGTCTCTTGTGGTACTTTTGCTCTGTTTTCAAGAAATGTTAAGGCTTCCTGCTCTGAGGCTGTAGCAAGTTTTTGATGCAGCCTAGAACAAAAAACATTCCAACTTTTATAATTTGCATATACAGGCTTCACTATTTAGATTTTTATACTGGAGATTGTAATGCTGTGACTGTTTAAATTGAATCAAAATGAATGGTAAATTATAAAACACGTCGGCATGAGTAAAAACTATTTTAAAATCTTTAAAAGTAAGAAGTGTGAGCTTTAAAAAGCTGGAGAGTATGATAGTGTGCTGCTCATTCTGCAGATTATGGTATGTCAGATCTTCGTAAAATGTTTTATTGCAGTTAAAAGTGTTTCATCTTTATCAATTAGAGTTACCGTAGGACATCTATCTTGAGCATCTTTTTGGAATTCTAGCAAAGTATTTGAATTGGGCTTGTTCTGAGTTTGATTGCTCATGTCTGGCACAGTCTCAAGTTTCCTCTGAATGGTAACAAAGACTGTAGAGTGTTGTTGGTACTGCTGTGAGAGGCATGCTTCCTTAGTCCAGGTAAGAGAGTGAGTTTCTGTCTGCTGTATAAGTATTTTGCAGAAAGTATTTGGTATTTTGAAACAGCTGCTGTTTTAAATTAATAAAGAATTCATAGCATATTAAATTTAAGACATTCCTGGAAGTTGCAAGCAGGAAAACTACAGTGTGTTGGGGGGAGGGGTAAAGAATTAGCCTAGTTTGTCATTTACATGTCTAAACAAATAGATTAAAATTTGGGAATTATTTTACCTCCTCTTTCCTTAACTCCGTTGTCCGAAGTGGTGCTGGCTAATTAAAGCATTGAATGTGGAATATTGAATGTGGCCTCATGCCATTAAAACTATCCAAAATGGTTATACCTATTTTAAATTGGTATAATGAACTTTGCCCTTTATGATCTATACTTTGTCAGTTATTTCTTTCAAAAAATGTACAAAAGGAGAAAATCTTATTCTTTTTAGATCCTTAGAAATATATCTTAAAAGTAGGTTAATATGTATGTATTTTATTACATGGTATTTCACTATAATAATTTTTATCTAGTACAGTTCTCTTGAAGTATTTGTGCTTTGAAAATGTCAGCTGTATTCTAATGAAGCCAGGGTATTGTTTGCTCATAAAGAGGCCAGTGCATTCCACTGCTTTATGGTTTATTATGAGGCACAGTGTGAGAGTGTGGGTGGCACCATTTGGTGTCTGCTTGTTGGGGTAGTAACTGCCATTATGCTAGGGTTTTTTTTTTTTGGATTGGCAAGAAAATATAATAAATGAGATCTTGCCTAGATCTGAACAATGTAAGCAAAGACTTTACTATTGTATGTTCTCAAGAAATGGAGTGAGTACACTTGAGATACCCGGAATAAGTGTATATACTTAAGTAGCCTGAAGTATGAGCAGTAGTACTCTGTGGGTTTTTTCCAATACATATGTTACCAAGAACAATACTACATAACTGTTTTAATTTAGAGGGGAATCTTTCTAATACTTTAGCTTTGTCAAATAAAGTTGTAATGTGATCAGAATTATGAAAAGAATAATAATTAAATCCATGGAAGTAATCAACAAGATTTCATTTAAAAAAAATGCACAACAGACTTTGAGCTGGAAAACTCCTGATGAGGATTTGATTCAGAAAAAAAGAAACAGATGTCTCTCCTGTTACAATTGAGGTTGTTTCATTCAAAGTTCACAGTAGCTGATGAGGGTGAGGAGGTAATAAATCTGGCTTAAACAGCTCGTATCTAAAGAAAACTTGTGGGAATTAAATTATTTTATTTTATTTGATGCTTTGCATTTTTAATTGCATTGTAAATCATGGAAACTTTGATTTTCTTATTGTTGGCTTTTTTTTAAATATCTGAGGTGTATATGATCTGGGAATGAGTTAATATCTGCAAAAGTGGGTTTTTACTTCAGTTAAATCAAGTATAGGAAACTGACTTGGTAGAAATATTTTTGATTCAAATTCTTTTTGTGCCCCAAATGACTGAATACTTGAGAAACTATCTACATGTGTTAAAGTCAGCTAAAAATATAGATGTTATCTGAAGTTCAGTAGAAAAGCTTAAAATGAAATTCACATGTAAAAGGTTGAGCTATTTTAGGGGTTAATTGTTCTGTTTGCTTCCTAAATAAAGTATAGTGATTGACCTAAGGGGCCTGATGTGAGTAAGGTCTACAGCAATTAAAGTATTTTGTCTATGAAGAGGGAGTCAGTTAGCTGATAGCTATCAGTTAATAGGGTGGGTAAGAGAGAGTGGTGGTTTTTAACTGACTTATTTAAATATTTATGGAAGTGCTGTGTTTGATACTTATTTTAAAATATATAATATAGCATCAAATTTTGAAATACTGTAGTAGTTTGAATGGATCAAAGACTTGTTTGTGTCCTTGATGATTAAACAATGTAGTTTTTTCTCTTGCTGTGTTGTTTTATTCCATTACCTTACATAATTTTAAGATTTATTGCTAGTAAGATAGAGAAAACTTAGACCCTGATCCTGCAACTGGTTTCATGTGGGAGGAGTACTGCATACAGCTCCATTGAAATATTGGGCCTTTGCATCAGACATTTAATCCGTAATGCTTCACAGTATTTTCATAATAACCTTATGTTATTGAAATAATGCTTATCCTTATGCTGCACACTAAACTTGTTAGTGAGATCCAGTTGCAGGATCAGGACCATATGGGTGTAAGGGTCTGTTCCCAAAGATCTAGTTGGAGAATTGGCACCAAAGGCTTCAGTTCTTCAAGCTTTTCTACATGGGTAGGATACTGCGTTGAGCCTGAAGTTATTGGGACTCTGTTCAGGCATAGGGATCTGCCCATATAAATCAATTTGAGGGATTGGGGTTGCAGCTGTAAGCTCTTCAGGGAAAGGGACTATGTATTCTTTTTGTATATGACTGTACTACATCTAGCAATTTTTAGATGCTACTGTAATATAAGGGATGGCTGTATGAACCGATGATGATGATGTTTGATCTTACAGAACAATTCTCCCTGGCTGGGACAGACAAACCCTCTTTTTAAAAGCAAAATATTTACCATTTTCTATTCCGTCCTCCAGCATATTGTCTAGACCTGTGTATGTCAATGAAGTTAAAAGATTTTTCTGTTATGTTTTGTTTTTGTTTTTTCTTCTATGCACGTCTGTGTTTCTAACTTTCAAATACTGGAAGGTATGTTTTTGTTCCTTGAGGCTATAACTTTTTGTTTGTGTTTTATTTTTTTCTAATAATACAGGTACCAAATAAAGCAATACACATCTCATGGTATCCAACTATGTAATACTTTGCAATGTTGTAGCATGATTTCTGTACCTCCTTTAAAATGTTTTAACTTCATAGAAACCAAAGCATGAAGAAACATCACATACCCTTATTGCAAAATATCTTACTAAACATCAAATATTTCACAACTTTTAGGCCAGTTTTAGCTCTGCCAATTAAAAGCTCTCTGTAGGCTACAATTTTTACTCTTTAAAATGATTTAATTATTAATTCAGTATAAAACATGATGACCAGACATTTCCCAAGTTGAATATTCATTCCTAGGTTTTAAATGCTGTTAAATCTAAATCTAAGTTATCAGAATTTTTCTAATATGTTTCTTTCTTGTTAAATGCAAGGGCTTGCTTTCCTGTTGAAATGTATTCTCTGTTACCCCAATTGGGGTATGTATGCTTACTTTCAGACATGGTTTGCTTCAAACAAGCAGCGTCAGATTCTATATATATATTCCCAAGTTGACATAGTTTCTGACTGCTTTTCAACTAAGTTTCAGACCTGACAGAATTTAAACAGAAAAAATAACTGAAAAATCTGTAGCTTTGTGTCTTTTTTAATAAAAGACTGTAACATTATAGCAGTCCATGCTGTATGTTAGGATGTAATGTACAGACTAAGTATCTAAAATAAGTGTTGTGGAATGATTGACTCATAAAAATTGGCTAAATTTTTGTTCTATAACACAGCAACTTTATAATTATTAATGAAGTTATAGGAGTAAAACTTAAACCTAAATATCATGTAAATGAAATTTCTGGTAATGTATGTAGATAAAAAGAAGCACATCTTTCCCCTCCAATGTCATGTAAAGGCATAGGTCTCAGTTCATTTAATACTGCTTGTATTTTTCTAAATAAGAAATTATAGCATTGGTGGTCCTCCATTATACACAATAATAATGGTGACAGATATTGACTGAAAAAATAATTTGTCTGATACCTCTCTGTCAGGAGAACAATAGCATTTTAATGCACTTATTCACGACAGCTCCTTATTTTGAAGTTGTACCAGTGATTAACAGTACTTATCTTGTGCATTGTTTTTATATACAGTATGATTATAGACGCAGGCTTGATTGCTGGACCGGTTTTTTTAATGGAAAATAGTACCTACAAACAAAATATTTGATAGTTTACTTCTTGGATTATCTCTGAAGCTCTTGCCTTAAGTTCCTAAAGCAAGAATAACCTTTTTAAAAAATTACTTGGGTGCTGGTAGTGCATAGTGCTGTACACACAAAATGCAAACAATGGAAATATGTGATGTGAGTTAGGCATACAGGAGTAATCTTATTGCTTTATTATTTGTATTGCCATGCTACCTAGGAGCCCTTGTCATGGACCCAGACCCCAGTGTGCTAGGAGCTATACAAGCAAAACAAAAATATGGCTCCTTCCCCAAAGAGCTTACTAGCGAATTATAAGACAAGACACAACATATGGTTACAGAAGAAGGGAGTACAAGAAAACCATGAGACAATATTGATCAGCATGATAGGCAGTGGTATCTGCTCACCCAGCAGCCTAACCTTTGTCAAGTTTATTGAAGGCATCATGGCAAAGAAGAGTTTTAAGAAGGGATTTGAAGAAGGATAATGAGGTAGCTTTGCAGATGTTTATGGAGCGCTCCTCCCAAGCGTGCAGGGCAGCTTGGGAGAAAACACAAAGCCATACTGACTATTTTGTATTAGCACCTAGGTATTATTTATGAGTGCTTAGTAAAATAAACAAAGGAGATATTCTGTGGCCAAGGACTTTCCCACCTAGTGTAGGCAGAGAAAATAGTTCAGATACCAGGGGTCATAATTTGCTAATGATTATTATTAATAATCATGTTTATCATGGCAATTTCTAGTGACCAACTGAAAGTAGGCCCCCATTGTACAGCACTCAGCACCAAACACAGAATAGTAGATAGTCCCTGCCCTGAAGAATTTACAGTCAATGATCTATATATGAAAAACAGTATATGTTGTGTCTGCACAAAACTTGAAAAGAGGATCTGGTAGGTTTAGAATATTTGAGTCTTGTCTTCACTACAAAAAAAAAAAGTGTTCTCAATTCAGGTTAGCTGACTTGAGGTAAAATCCTAGTGAAGACAAGGCAGTTTGTAGTTTTCACACAAGTTAGCACAGTGTTGCCTAGTGGATAGAGCAGTGGACTGGGACTCAGAAAATCTGGGTTCTATTCCCAGCTTCTGCGACTGGTTTGGTGTGTGACAATGGGC